AAAAAAATTTAAATTTTTTTTTCTAAAAAGCCTACCCACCAATAAAATGATGACACATGGCATTGAATTCAATATTTTTAAAAATCTCTATTTAAATAATTCAAAAATAATTTTATGAATATAAAAACTAATTTTTGTTTTTATTTTTTTATTTAACCCCCCGACCCCTCCGAGATCCATTTTCTCTTCACCGGTGCCGGCGGCAACTACGACGCCAACAAATCGTCGCCCTACCTCTTTCTTCTCCTTCATTCAATTTTATCCTTTATGGTTTCTGTGTAAAGATGCAATTTGGATTCTCCATTGAATAGTTCAAGTGCTAGTGAAATAATGAAAGTTAGAAATTAGCTAATACTAGAACCGATCAGTTTTCTTCATATTGATAGCATCAAATCTGTTACTCATTGTCTTCATCTTCTTTCCATTAGTAATTATTTATCAAAATTGCAAAATATAATAACAAATTTTTATCCGAAAAATTAATTCATATTTTTCTTATCGAAATAAATGAAGATTCGCCGGAATGGGGCGCAGGAAATGGGGTGGGTTGAGCACGTGCGTAAAACAGCTAATGGAAATGGTGGATGAGAAATTGAAAATAGTTGTAGGGAAAGGAATTTGGATGGGGAAGAAGACGACTCTTTCTTCTTCTTTATTTTTGTTAATTATTTTTTTTAAAAAAAATAGTTTAGTTTTATATGTTAGGAAAAAAAAAACAAATATTTTGATAGCTTTACGTGCTTAAAGAGAGTGAACCACACGTTTTTTGCCATGTCAGCATTTTGTGTCCAATAGGAATGACTTTTGAACAGTTGAGGTGTTCAATAGGCACAACCTATAATTGAAGTGTTTAAATAAAATATGCGGACAACTTTAAAGAGCCGCATATGACTTAAACCTTTATATATTTATGATTACGTTATCATATATATTGGATTATTCTTTTGAAACGAAGAGAGTAAATGAAATAAAGTGAATGAGTACAATTTTCTATTTTATTGTTGTTTGTTTTTATATATGCCTGACAGTTCTATTTATTTTGGTATTTTGTGTTTATTATGCTCGTCTAACGAATGAATACACTTGATATAGTATCCGTTAGTAGAAAATATAAATATTGAATTGGCCTACACACATGTGTTGTTGATTGAGAAAACAATATTTACCAACTCATCAATGTGTATTTTGATACAAAAAAAATGATAGCTTGAATAGGTAAAAAGAACAATGCACAGTTGAGATATGAAACACGTTAAAAGGTACTTCTTTCGTGCACTTTTATTTGTCATAATTAGACTTGATAATTTGACTATTTTACCATACTATTCATATTTATTGATATTTAGCTAGCGTTTGGCCATAGATTTCCAAATATTCTTGACAAATATTATTTGGGTGAAAATTTGGGTGAGATTTCACTATGTGTTTGGTCATAATATTTGGGATACATATTTAACTTTTTTAGAAAAACATGATTTATACCCATAAGTTTTAAAAACTATCAAAACTAACCATAAGTTTGTATTGCAAGTCAATTGGATCTTCATTGAACAAATTACAAGTAGTGTCCATGACACTGAAGCAATGTGGTAGTTTGGAGTAAGTGCAACATGCATCATTCCATACATTATGAAGTAGACAAAAGACATGACTTTGTTACCATGAGCCGATTGTTCATCATTTTCATCAACAACCATATCATCACTTTCATATTTCATCACTACTTTGGTGTTCACGTAAAAAATTATGTAATGTAACGCAAACAACTACTATAGAGAGTGTTTTTGTAAAAGATAAAAGTTTGGTGTAAAATTTCAATTTTTAAAAGATCCCAAATAATGAGATTTGGCTCAAATACTAGAAAAAACTAGTATTTGGGAATTTGGGATACTTGCCAAAAATATTTGCCAAATAGTGGCAAATTGTATGCAGTGGCGGAGCCAGAATTTACATTGAGGGGTGTCAAAATACAAAGTAGTAAGTACACATAAAAATCAACAAAAAATTTTTTACTAATGAAAGCAAAAAATAATTACATCATCACAATCGTTTGGCGACGCCCGACGAAGAGTCACATCGAAGGTAGCGAACAAAAATGATTTTTTGGGGCTCTTCCTCCTCAAACCCTTTAATTTTTGAAATTAGGGATTTGTTTAATCTATAAAGTACATTTACTCTTTTAAAAAATAAAATAGTAAAGTCAACTTTATTTAAGTCAATCGCTCAAAAATTGGCGGAAAAAAAAGCTTAAGTTTTCTAAAATTTTAAAACAAAAGATGCTTCTTGAAGTCTTAATTTTAATAAAAAAAGACGTTATAAAAATGAGAAATCCCAACCAGGTTCAAACCCCTGACGTTCAAGACCAAAGATTAAGGAGATATTCTGCAGCCCCTCAACCACTGAGCTAACTCTTCATCTTGTTTTAAAGAGTGCCAACTATAATATATATATATATATATATATATATATATATATATATATATATATATATATATATATATATAGTAATAAAATCAAAATTTAGCCTACCTAGACAACATAGTTTTCCGACGAAGGGGTGTCGCTTGACATCCCTCGGGCAAGGGTAGCTCCGCCCATGATTGTATGGACAAACACTATTTGCCAAATTTCCCCCCAAATATTACTTAAGAAATCTATGGCCAAACGGGTAGTTAGTACTATGTCTAAAAAATAATTCGTGAAATAAATAATTGATGTTAAGAATAATAAAATATATACATACATACATACATATTCTTATTAGTATGTCAAATAAAAATAAAAATCTATTTTTAAACTAGTTGAACTAATAAGTTAAGTGTGTTTTGATTGTTAACTCAACAAATACATCTATTCCTGTTAAATTAAATACAGTTAATAAAGTATGCATTTTCAATTTATTGCTTATTTTGTTCTAATTTAAGCGGTACAATTAAAAATTTGAGATTCAAACTTATAAATTTTGATCATAAATTAAAATATAAAAGCCTTAATTTTCTTACATTAAATTTATATATTCAAAAATTACATAAACATATTATAAAATATATTTCAGTGTCTTGTTTTGTGTGATATACTTTTCTTTTTAGTTCGTTTAAAAAATAATTTCACTTTACTATTTTTAGAAACAATTTAACCTTAAAATTTCTTTTTATCTCTAATGAAATAATTCTCATTTCCCAGTTACACAAAAAGTTAAAGAATGATTTTAGACACAATTTTTTTAAAAAAAAAATATATTGTCAAGTAAAAAAAAAACTCCTCCTAAAATGGAACTAAGGAAGTAACATATATTTGAAAAAACATATTTCATCTGTCTCAATTTATGTGATTTACTTTCTCTTTTAGTCTATCTCAAAAAGAATACACATTTTTATATTAAGTAACAATTTAACTTTAAAATATTCATTTTGCTCTCAATGAAATGATTTATAATCACACAAATTTTTATTATTCATTTTAGACCACAATCCACAAGTTTTAAAAGTCTTCATTTCTTTCTTAAATTTCGTGCCGAATCAAATTACGTCATATAAAATGAAACCGAGATTCTTTCTTTCTTAAACTTCATACCAAATTAAACTACGTCACATAAAATGAAACCGAGGGAGTATAAATTTTTTATTAGTTTGGTGACAGATAAAATTAAAACACGGGGCTATGATTTGACAGTGGGTACAGGCCTCTCTTTCTCTGTATTTTATTTGAAATAAGTTAAAGTGTCTTTTGATAACTTTTGAATATATAGAGGGGTTAGATTCTCATATGGTCACTGAACTATTCATTTTTATCTCAGAAAGTCCTTTTAACTTTTAATTTTCACTAAAAATTATCATGTGAGAATTTTCTGAGAAAAGACTGGATAGTTAAATAACCATGTTATATTATATAAGGTATTAACCCATATATAGAGTCACGTGAAAAAAAGAAGAAGAGCCATCTCCTTGTCAAGAACAAGCAATTTCATCTATGAGGTAACTTTTTTTTTTCTTCTAATAGTAATCCATTAGTTTTAGAGTTAAAATGGGTAAAACAATCAGGATCCTCATGGTTGTGGGTTCGAGCAACCAAAGGGGCAAAAAAGGTGGAAGCTTTATATAGTTCAATGGCTCTCTCATTATAGAAAATTCCAAATGCTTTAGTGGAGTACTTTTATAGGTATATTTTTGTTATTTCTTCTTGGAAAGGAGGGAACTTGGTGTGGCCTAGGTGGTGCCTTAATGGGCAGAGCTACATGTATCTGTGTTGGTAGGAAGGAACTTGGTGTGGCCTAGCTGGTAAAAAAAACTAGGTACCTTAATGAGCAGAGTGACATGTATCTGTCTTGGTGAGAGGGAGCATGTAGAATTATCGAGGTATGACCAAACTGACCAAAGACACCACTTTTATCGCAGGGAAAGGAAAAGGGGAGGAAAGGGAAAGGAAGGGAAAACTGAATGGTAAATTTAGTTCATCTTTGTTTGGTTTGAATAAACAAATAAAAAGATGGTATTCGAATAACTGCTGCTGAGTTTAAGATGCTCCAAGTGAGGTGGTGCGAGAGGTTGGATATAGTGGGTGCGAGGAGAGGTAGAGGTAGGCCGAAAAAGTATTGGGGAGAGGTTATTAGACAAGAAATGACACGATTCCAGCTTACTGGGACATGACCTTAGATAGGAGGGTGTGAAGGTTGCAGATTATGGTAGAAGGTTAATAGGTGGTGGAGTATTCTATTGCTTCCTGAAGGGTTTAGGCTTAGTGGTGTATGTCGTAGTAGTAGCTTTATTCTTGTACTGTCTAGCTTTTGCTTTCTACCACCTTCTATTTTTATGATGCTTCCGTTATTGCATTATTTTGTTGTTGTTACTGTTTCAGTAGAAGTTGCTATATTTTCTACTGTCCTTTTTCCTTTTCATACTTAATCTGATTGTTGTATTCGAGTCAAGGGTCTTCCGGAAACAACCTTTCCACCTCCACGAAGTAGTGGTAAGTTTTGCGTACTCTACCCTCCCCAAACCCGACTTGTGGGATTTCATTGGGTATGTTGTTGTTGTTTAAACCGAGAGCACTTGATAAGGAATCTTTTTGAAAAGCATGTAATGTAGCAGATTGTTTAATGTGAGAACATATATTGAGTAGATGATTGAATTCTATCTTGGTGAAACAGCTTTCAGCATATGTGTTCCGTGTTTCCTTGTTTACGCCTAGAAGCTAATAATTCTAATAGTTTAAAGAACTCAAATTACGTGTTCACGTCTGCAGGCTTTTCTCTGAGACGTTTACAATCTTTTTCTTCTTAACTTGCTCCATCTGAGAAAAGTACTAGAGATGGCAAAAGATAAAGTTGCAAGCTTAGGTGCTGAAGTTTCTCAGTCAAAGGAAAAAATGGCCAAGAAAATGCAAGAGTTGAACAAAGAGCTGATTCCTGACAAGATATTTGTTCCTATTCCTGGATCATCCTCTAATTTTATATTAGGTCCATGTTTTAAGACAATGTTTCCTCCAGAGCTCTCGTCTCTTTACCCCTTAGCTGTAGGAGAGAAGCTACTTCTACACTCCGTGCAACTTGATTGGTTCGGAGGTAAGTATCTGGATTCATGGCCTTCTAATAGTAGATCATGGAATGATTGGGTAGATAGAGTTGAGAAGGCCAAAGGGGAAGTTTGGAAATCAGCTGATATCTATGATGCCATTCAGTTGTCAAAAAATGATATCTCGATGGACAAAAATCTTCTGTATGCTGCTTTATGCTATTGGTCAATCTCCACAAACTCGTTCCACTTCAGATTTGGTATGATGGGGCCAACAGTACTAGATATTGTTGCTTTGACAGGACTTAGGCCACATGGGGAGGAAGTCAGTGCCATTCTTGGGATGGCTGGATCGACTTGTCATTTTCCCAAGTATGGAACAATTTATGATAATTCCTTGCGTTACAGCAAGTATCTTGATGTGTCAAAGTCAGAAACAGCTGTGACAAAGGAAGAACATTTATCTTTTCTGTTTACGTGGCTCAGTAAACATCTGTTCTGTGACTCTTCTGTAAACATGATTAAGCAATGCACAAAACTGGCATTCGCTCTTGCTGCGGGTAGAAAGCTTGCTTTGGCACCTTTTCTCTTGTCTAATTTATATCATGGATGCACTGAAATCATTATGGGCAAGTTTCTATATGGAAGAGGTCCATTCTGGATCTTGCAATTCTGGCTACAGTCTTACTTCCCAGAATTCCAACCTGCTACTTTGGATACCTGTAATATCCCCACCTATGCTAGTTTCGAGGAATACTTTCGCTTTTTTCATAAATGTGCATCTAGAACTATCAGCCAATTCACCCTGTTTTCTTCTAGGAAGTTTGGACCTGTCTGGTTTAAGAAATCACTTGATCCTGACTTCCAAAAACTTAATAAGCCAGAGCTACAAGATATTTGGGCCAGTTATCTCATTGCTCGAGACCTCCCTTACAGTATCCTTCTGGATGAATCTTTGAAGTGCAAATATGAGGTAGAACATTACTCTCCAAATCAGTTTGCCCGACAGTTTGGTATGACTCAGGCTGTCCCCTTCCACCAATCGGCCAATAAACTTCCGATTAGAAGAAAAGATTTCCAATCTGCAGATTACACTGAAGAAACTGAATCAAGGTTTTGCCAATTGAAAAGGAAGTTTTCATTAGTTCCATTTGATACTAATCCTAGCTCTACTGAGTTCTTTGATTCCTGGTGGTCCACTTACATCCATACTCGGGACAAGACTGCTGTTGATATCCTCCGAAAGATCTCACCTCATGTCATGCCCCTCTGTTCATCTGACAGACAAAAAATTGCTGCTCCTCAGTACAATGGTATTAAAGGCAATTCCGAATCTGCAGGAAAAATTGGCCAGAATATGAAGAGGAAATATGAAGGTATGATAACCTTCTTGATGAAACAAATTATAAGATTTCTATTTTTCTGAACAAATGATAGAGCCGTCAAAATGCATTTGAATTGTTGGTGATTGTTGCATATATCATTACATTAGATTTTGTGATAGCTTTCAATGTTATATCTCATTCTTGCCCTTTTCTCAGTTTGATTTCTGATTCTGATTTTGGTGTCTTGTATTGCCTCCTTAATTGCTTTCAGGGGATAATATTCCATCGCAATCTTTGGCTCAGCAAGACGAGCCCATACAACAAAAGAACTTGAATGAGGCAGCTGAAAATATAGCTACAACAACATTATGCAAGGTAAAAATTCCCATCCCCAAACAAGCCTCTGGGATTATAATGAGATATATTGGCTTGATTCCTTCACTTTACTTTTCAGAAGACGAAGACTTACTCGAGGAAATTTTCACCAGGCACAACTTCTGCCATACCTTCTACATCAGCCTTCCCTACAAGTTGTACTCCTGCTAATGAAGACAGGACTGAGGCAGACATCCAAGTTTCCACTGTTACACCAATCTCCGCTTCTGACAAAGTAAGTTCTCCTTATTACTTGTGTTGTTACGTCCGGTTAGTTGGTACTTCATCTAATTTTGAGAACTTTTTTCTTTTTAGAATGTTGAGGAATGCACAGTTTCCCCATCCTTAGATAATACCAGAAGCAAGACATCTGATATTAGTCAACCACCTGACTGTCCTTCGAAATTTGATAATCTAGAAGGCTTCTTTGCTCGAGTTAGTGGAAAAATTAAATGTGCTCAATCTCTCGGTTTTACTGCTGATCGATCTTCTCCCATAGATGACAAGAAATCCGCCACACTGAAGTCTAAACCGTCAGCAGAAATGCTTGCCACAGCTAAAGGTGATATTAAGAGATTACTACTCATACCTTCTCAAGTCATGCTTCTACCCGGAAACTGTTCAGCATTAAGCGCAGCACTATCAGTACATACTGGAGCACCGGATTTATCAGCTGAGAGAGCGCTTGCCTTGGAGAAACTTAAAGAGAACCTTCCACACTTTTCCTTGACCTTGCGTAGAGCTAAGAAGGATCAAGAGGAGTATTATAAGAAGGTTTCCAAGCAAGAGCTCCTCATCGACGAGCTCACAAAAGATCAAGAACTCTATACTAACCTCAAAGATGGAAACAACAGACTTGATAACAAAATCAGCAAGCTGGAGGCAAGATTGAAGGCTGCAAAGACAAAAAGTGAAGCAATCAAGAAGCAACAATTGAGTTTGGCCAATAAGTGTTCTGGAAAGTGTAATGCTCTTGATGAAATGGAAGCTGAGTTTCCTGTCCTGAAGGAGATGAAGGAGCTAGCTGATTGGGATATCGCTCGATTGGAAGAAAGCTTGAGAGACTTCAAGAGTAAGATAATCGAGTGATCGCTTGTCTAAACCATTCTTCATGTGAATTTTGCTGGCCAGTAAGATCATGTAAATATATTTTGCTATGTACTAACTTTCTCTCTTTTGATGGCATACCTAAGTAAAGCCAAGCTAATCCAAACATGTAAAGTGAAACCAGTAGTGTACATCTAGTTATGTTATTTGGTGGCACAGGTTGATGGAACATGGATGCTTCAAAATAGCACTAATTTTGATATGATGACATGGTACAAAGTACAAACTACAAAATGTACATAGCTACCCCCTTTGATCTCTAGTCTAAGTGTAGTTTCATTACATTTGTTTTTGTGTGAAGTATTTCTTCTACTGTCTTGGCACTGTTATCAACTACTCTATCTGGTTTCTATTACCTCCTATAAATAACTGTTCATAATAAGAGAAATTAATAAGAGATCTGGTCTGTTACAACAACTTAAATTACACTCTATTTGATTTGGCATGTTTTTTAAGAAATAAATAAAAGTTTTTGAAACTAGTGGTACTAATATTAGTGCGTAAATTGTATACAAGATAAACACCAGGAAAGAGATATTCGTTGGGCCAAGAGCACCCTCCTTGAGTTAAAGCTTTCATGCCTAGTTGACCAAAACGAGAGCTTTTAATAATGGAAATATGACATATTTTTTTTCGAGGGCTAAAAGACAAAATTGTTCACATAAATTTAGTCCGTTGGCAAATACTCGCTTGTCCAATTTTGACTTTTTACTTGTCATTTTTGAGAAAACAAAAAATAATAATATTTATTTATTAATGATATCCTCAATTCATTTAGAGAGTTAATATTTTTGAAAAAAAGTAAAAACTCTTTAATGAATAAATTAATTTTGGAATTCTATCAATTAATAGAAATAAAATAATAAACTCACTATATCAATTATTATTATCTTAATAAGTGTATTAAGTAAAAAATAGATAAATAACTAGGAATAGAGAGAGTTTAAGTAAAAACAGAGGGGGCTATGATTTGACAGTGGTTACAGGTTTCTAAGAGCCTCACTTTCTCTCTATTTATTTGAAATAAGTTAAACAGTCTTTGGACAACTTTTAAATACAAGTTAAACACTCAGAAAAAAGGAAGCTCTCTCCTTGTCAAGAACAAGCAATTTCAGCCATGAGGTAACTTTTTTTTTCTTCAATAGTAATCCATTAGTTTTAGAGTTAAAATAGGTAAAACACTCCTAAATTATCAGTTGTGTGAATTTCCTATAAAATTATTATGGAATGGTTATAGAATCACGCTTCAACTGTCAATGGTTCACTTTTCGTATTTGAATAATGATAGATATTTTAGGTAGGAAAGGTGAACAAATGATAAAGATAGTTGAGGTGTGTTTTGATAAATATTTGGTGATAGTTTTAGGCAAGAAACTCGCATAATTGATAGTTTAATATAAAATTCAAAAAAGTTGTAATACGTGCCTTTTAGTTTTATATATACTAAAAGTTTTGTATTTAAGTTGAAGTAATGTATATTGTTTATTCAAGATGTAATTTTTTTTTTGTGAACTTGGCATTATAACTATGGTTTTCTTGAACTTCCATGAAAATTGTATTGTTCTACAATTTGTAGTGATATATATCAATTATCACCCTTTATGGGGCAAGAGGGGTTGCTCAGGTGGTAAACACCCTCCATCTTCATCCTCATGGTTGTGGGTTCAAGCAACTAAAGGGGCAAAAAAGTGGAAGCTCCTACGACAAAGTAAAAAAAAAGTAGGTGCCTTAATGGTCCGAGTCACATGTATCTGTGTTGGTTGGAGGGAGTGTATAGAATTATCGAGGTATGCCCCAACTGACCAAAGACACCACTTTTATCGCGGAAAAGGAAAAGGAGGAGGGAAGGGAAGGGAAGGGAGAACTGAATGGTAGATTTAGTTCATATTTGTTTGGTTTGACCAAACAAATAAAATGATGATATCCATTTATTTGCTGCTGAGATTAAGATGCTCCAGTGAGGAGATGCGAGAGGTTGGATATAAAGGGTGCAAGGAGAGGTAGCGGTAGGCCGAAAAAGTACAGAGGAGAGGTTATTAGAAAGAACAAGGCACACTTCCACTTTACTGAGGACATGACTTTAGATAGGAGGGTGTGGAGGTCGCAGTTTAGGGTAGAAGGTTAATAGGTGGTGGAGTGGTCTATTGCGCTCTGAAGGGTTTAGGCTTAGTGGTGTCTGTCATAGTAGTAGCTTTATTCTTGTACTGTCTAGCTTTAGCTTTCTACCAGCATCTATTTTTATGATGTATCCATTATTGCATTATTTTGTTGTTGTTACTGTTCCTATAGTAGTTGCTATATTTTATACTGTCATTTTTCCTTTTCATACTTGATTTGATTGATGTACACGAGTCAAGGGTCTTCCGAAAACAGCCTCTCTACCTCCACGAAGTAATGATAAGTTCTGCGTACTCTCTACCCTCCTTAGACCCATCTTGTGGGATTTCATTGGGTATGTTGTTGTTGTTTAGACCGAGAGCACTTGATAAGGAATCTTTTTGAAGAGCATATAATGTAGCAGGCTGTTTAATGTGAGAACATATTGTGAGTAGATGATTGAATTCAATCTTGGTGAAACAGCTTTCAGCATGTGCCTTGTTTCCTTGTTGACGCCTAGAAGTTAATAATTCTAATAGTTTAAAGAACTCAAATTACGTGTTCACGTCTGCAGGTTTTTCTCTGAGAGGTTTACAATCTTTTTCTTCTTAACCTGCTCCATCTGAGAAAAGTATTAGAAATGGCAAAAGATAAAGTTGCAAGTTTAGGCTCTGAAGTTTTCCGGTCAAAGGAAAAATTGGCCAAGAAAACGCAAGAGTTGAACAAAGAGCTGATAGTTGACGAGACAATTGTTCCTATTCCTGGATCACCCTCTAATTTTATATTAGGTCCATGTTTTAAGACTATGCTTCCTACGGAGCTCTCGTCTATTTACCCTTTGGCTGAAGGAGAGAAGCTACTTCTACACTCCGTGAAACTTGGTTGGTTCAAAGGTAAGTATCAGTATTCATGGCCTTCTTATTGTAGCTTATGGATTGATTGGGTAGATAGAGTTGAGAAGGCCAAAGGGGAAGTCTGGAAATCAGCTGATATATATGATGCCATTCAGTTGTCAAAAAATGATATCCTGATGGACAAAAATCTTCTGTATGCTGCTTTATGCTATTGGTCAATCTCCACAAACTCGTTCCACTTCAGATTTGGCATGATGGGGCCAACAGTACTAGATATTGTTGCTTTGACAGGACTTAGGCCACATGGGGAGGAAGTCAGTGCCATTCTTGGGATGGCTGGATCGACTTGTCATTTTCCTCATCATGGAACAATTTATTATAATTCCTTAACTTACAACAAGTATCTTGATGTGTCAAAGTCAGAAACAGCTGTGACAAAGGAAGAACATATATCTTTTCTGTTTACGTGGCTCAGTAAACATCTGTTTTGTAACTCTTCTGTAAACATGATTAAGCAATGCACAAAACTGGCATTCGCTCTTGCTGCGGGTAGAAAGCTTGCTTTGGCACCTTTTCTCTTGTCTAATTTATATCATGGATGCACTGAAATCATTATGAGCAAGTTTATTTATGGAAGAGGTCCATTCTGGATCTTGCAATTCTGGCTACAGTCTTACTTTCCAGAACTCCAACCTGCTACTTTGGATACCTGTAATTTCCCCACCTGTGCTACTTTCGAGGAATACTTCCGCTTTTTTCATAAATGTGCATCTAGAACTATCAGCCAATTCACCCCGTTTTCTTCTAGGAAGTTTGGACCTGTGTGGTTTCAGAAGTCACTTTATCCTAACTTCCAAAAACTTAATAAGCCAGAGCTACAAGATATTTGGGCCAGTTATCTCATTGCTCGAGACCTCCCTTACAGTATCCTTCTGGTTGAATCTTTGAAGTGCAAATATGGGGTAGAACATTATTCTCCAAATCAGTTTGCCCGACAGTTCGGTATGACTCAGGCTGTCCCCTTCCATCAATCAGCCAATAAACTTTCAGTTAGAAGAAAAGATTTCCAGTCTGCAGATTACACTGAAGAAACTCAGTCAAGGTTTTGCCAAACAAAAAGGAAGTTTTCATTTGTTCCATTTGATACTAATCCTAGCTCTACTGAGTTCTTTGGTTCCTGGTGGTCCACTTATATCTATACTCGGGACAAGACTGCTATTGATGTCCTCAGGAAGATCTCACCGCATGTCATGCCCCTCTGTCCATCTGACAGGCAAAAATTTGCTGCTCCCCAGCACAACAGTATTAAAGGCAATTCTGAATCTGCAGGAAAAATTGGCCAGAATATGAAGAGGAAATATGAAGGTATGATAACCTTCTTGATTAAACAAATTATAAGAGTTCTATTTTGCTGAACAAATGATGGAGCCGTCAAAATGTGTTTGACTTGTTGGTGATTTTTGCATATACCATTGCATTAGATTTTGTGATAGCTTTCTGATTTTGATGTCTTGTATTGCCTCCTCAATTGCTTTCAGGGGATAGTATTCCATCGCAATCTTTGGCTCAGCAAGACGAGCCCATACAACAAAAGAACTTGAATGAAGCAGCTGAACAGATAGCTCCAACAACATTATGCAAGGTAAAAATTCCCACCCCCAAACAAGCCTCTGGGATTATAATGGTATGGATTGGCCTGATTCCTTCACTTTACCGTTTGTTGACTTTTCAGAAGACGAAGACTTACTCGAGGAAATTGTCACCAGGCTCAACTTCTGACATACCTTCTACATCAGCCTTCCCTACAAGTTGTACTCCTGCTAATGAAGACAGGACTAAGGCAGACATCCAAGTTTCCGCTGTTACACCAATCTCCACTTCTGACAAAGTAAGTTCTCCTTATTACTTATGTTGTTACGTCCGGTTAGTTGGTTACTTCATCTAATTTTGAGAGCTTTTTTCTTTTTAGAATGTTGAGGAATGCACAGTTTCCCCATCCTTAGATAATACCAGAAGCAAGACATCTGATATTAGTCAACCACCTGACTGTCCTTCGAAATTTGATAATCTAGAAGGCTTCTTTGCTCGAGTTAGTGGAAAAATTAAATGTGCTCAACCTCTCGGTTTTACTGCTGATCGATCTTCTCCCATAGATGACAAGAAATCCGCCACACTGAAGTCTAAACTGTCAGCAGAAATGCTTGCCACAGCTAAAGGTGATATTAAGAGATTACTACTCATACCTTCTCAAGTCATGCTTCTACCCGGAAACTGTTCAGCATTAAGCGCAGCACTATCAGTACATGCTGGAGCACCGGATTTATCAGCTGAGAGAGCGCTTGCCTTGGAGAAACTTAAAGAGAACCTTCCACACTTTTCCTTGACCTTGCGTAGAGCTAAGAAGGATCAAGAGGAGTATTATAAGAAGGTTTCCAAGCAAGTGCTCCTCATCGACGAGCTCACAAAAGATCAAGAACTCTATACTAACCTCAAAGATGGAAACAACAGACTTGATAACAAAATCAGCAAGCTGGAGGCAAGATTGAAGGCTGCAAAGACAAAAAGAGAAGCAATCAAGAAGCAACAATTGAGTTTGGCCAATAAGTGTTCTGGAAAGTGTAATGCTCTTGATGAAATGGAAGCTGAGTTTCCTGTCCTGAAGGAGATGAAGGAGCTAGCTGATTGGGATATCGCTCGATTGGAAGAAAGCTTGAGAGACTTCAAGAGTAAGATAATCGAGTGATCGCTTGTCTAAACCATTCTTCATGTTAATTTTGCTGGCCAGTAAGATCATGTAAATATATTTTGCTATGTACTAACTTTCTCTCTTTTGATGGCATACCTAAGTAAAGCCAAGCTAGTCCAAACATGTAAAGTGAAACCAGTAGTGTACTTCTAGTTATGTTATTTGGTGGCACAGGTTGATGGAACATGGATGCTTCAAAATAGCACTAATTTTGATATGATGACATGGTACTAAGTACAAACTACAAAATGTACATAGCTACCCCCTTTGATCTCTAGTCTAAGTGTAGTTTCATTACATTTGTTTTTGTGCTGAAGCATTTTCTTCTACTCTACTAGCACTGTTATCAACTACTCTATCAGGTTTCTATTACCTCCTATAAATAACTGTTCATAATAAGAGAAATTAAGCAGAGGCATGTTCAGGATTTTGAGATGATGGGTGCACTGATATAAAAAAGTTGATCTATGATATAAATTTGGTCGATTCGACATTTAGATTTTTACTACTGAAAACCATTATAATTTAAGAATTATAGATCTAAACTTAATTCTTATATATATATATATATATCAATTACCACTTAGAGAAGTATTATCTAATTTTAGAAAGAAAAATAAAACAAGAAAAATATAAAATTCAAATTTCTAGCCTTGCGGAGAGAAGTGCACCCAATCATAATTGCATTATGTGATGCTTCAAGTACGGATTCACACATCTATAATTTAATATATTTTTTAAATATAACACTACTATATGTGATCTCGGGAGGGGACCATGGGTTCACGTGAACCCGGTGACCCCCTTAGATACGCCTCTGAAATTAAGTACATGAAAAGTAAGGGATGTGGCCTGTTACACCAACTTAAATTACACTGTACTTGATTGTTCATGTTCTTTTTTAAGAAATAAATAAATGCTTTTGAAGCTAGTGGTATTAATATTAGTGCGTAAATCGATTGTATACAAGATAAACATTAGAAAAGAGATATTTGTTGGGCCAAGAGCACTCCCCACAAGTTCAAGCTTTCACGTCCTGTTGACCTAAACGAGAACTTTTTTGGAGGGACTAAAAGGAAAAATTGTAACATAAATTAAGACAAAAGAAATATTCAGATATTGAAATTATATCATGTTTCGATTGAGTAACTAAAGTGTTTCTATTTGAAGCTGAAAAACATTATCAAACGAACTGTCAACGCCATGGAAGGGGCAGAAGTGAGCATCTCACATTGCTATAGAGAAGCCAACCAGGTGGCTGACTTCCTTGCCAAATTAGCTTCATCAAGTGGAAATGGTACCTTCTACTTCTCTTATCAACAACTCCCGAAAGAAGCGAAGGGACTCTTTCAACTGGATAGATGGCAACTACCTTGTATAAGAAGAAAATATGACAAATGTAATTTTTTTGTTAGTTGAATCCTGTAATTTGCTTGAGTGGAAGGTTATACGTCTGTTGCCTTCCCTTTTTTGATGTCTTAATTTCCATTTTCTATTTTTGCCAGAGGTTAGGTACATGCCCCACTCTGTTTTTGTGTAATTATGTTGGAAATTATAGACATGGTAGGGGTCAAGCCAAACCCCCCACACCTAATAGCTTTAAGCTGTGATGGTGATGGCTTAAAATTATAAAAAAAAAAAACAAAAAAAAAAAAAAAAACTAAAGTGTTTCTATTTATTTATGTATTCCTTGCACAAATTTTAATTATATGCATTAGTTTCAATATATTCTAAATCCACCTATGCATTTTTACCCTGTCATCATGCAAATTATCCATGTTCATCAATCTATGCCACCAGAAACCATGTTTTGGGAAGTATGTCTACATTTGTTGTTTCAATTAACAAGTTTGGACCAACAAGGCTATACTTTAGGATGCCATTCAAAACAAAGATTTTACACATCACAAAAATGACATTTACATGCTCTTATACTATGGATCACTAGTCAGCAAATTCACACAGAAGAGCGTGTGGCGATTCGATTATCTTACTCTTCAACTCTATCAAGATTTCTTCCACTCGGGCAATGTCCGAATCGGCTACCTCCTTCATCTCAGGAGACTCAGCTTCCATTTCATCTAGTGCATTAGACTTTTCAAAACAGTTCTTAGCCAAACTCAATTTTTGGTCCTGGATGGCTTTTCGTTTCGTCTTTGCATCCTTCAAGCTTGCCTTCAACTTGTGGATTTGGTTGCTGATGGAATCAGTTGTACGTTCAAGTTTGTCGCTGTAGTCTTTGAGGTTGGCGTAGTGTTCTTGACCCTTCGTGAGCTCGTCGATGAGGATCACTTTCTTGGCAGCCTTCTTGTAATAATCTTCTTTGTCCTTTTTAGCTCTATGGTACGTTGAGGAAAGGTGTGGAAGGTTCTCTTTGAGTTTCTCAAACGCGAGTGCTCTCTCAACCGATAAATCTGGTGATGCAGTGTATACTGACAGTGCTGCATTTAGCTTTGAACAGTTTTCGGGTTGAAGCAAGTCTTGAGAAGGCATGATTAGTAATCTCTCAATGTCGTCTTTCGCTGTGGCAAGCATTTCTGCTGATGGTGTAGACTTTTGCATGGCAGATGTCTTTTCGTCTATGGGAGAAGAATGATCAGCAGGAAATCCAAGAGATTGAGCTTGTTTAATTTGTCCGCTAACTCGAGCAAAGAAGTCTTCTAGATTGTCAAATTTCACAGGACAGTCGGTTGGTTCACTAACATCAGATGCCTTGCTTTCAGTCTCAGCTAACGATGGGGAAACTGTACACTTTTCGCCTTCCTGAAAACAAAAAGATCCCAAACTTAGATAGAGTAATCAAACTTAACGCCACGAGTAAGACGAGAACTTACTTTTTCAGAAGTAGAGGATAAGGCGGAGGTTGATGTATCATCAGCATGAGAAACTTGCTCGTCTGCCTTAGTCTTGTCTTCATCAGCAGAAGCATCGCTTGTAGGGAAGGCTGATGAAAAAGGTATGCTAGAAGTTGTCCTAGGTAGCGGCATTTTCATCGCGGAAGTCTTCATCTTCTGAAATGATGAAACAACAGTAAAGTGAGGGAATCAGGACAAGCTAATCCCCCTTACAATCTCAGAAGCCTGTTTGGTAGTGTCCAGATGCACAATAGAAGTTACAGGTTCGGCTGAACCTAGTAGCTTTGGCTCAGATTCTCTAAACATGTTATAAAAATCTACGGATCCACCTTTGTTTGGGAGGTGCAAGGAAAATCTTACCTTGCATATTGTACTTTTTATAGATATCTTTTCAGCCACCTCATACGAGTTCCTTTGTTGTCTGGACTCGTCATCTTGCTGTACAAACGATCTTGACGGAATACTATACCCTAAAAGCATTTAAGGCATGAATAAAGGAGCAATACTAGATATCAAAATGTAGGTGGGAAAAGAAGAAACAAATAGAAGGGAAAGACAAGAAGCATAGAGAACACTGATAGCTATCCAAAAATACGCACCAGTATCGGATCCTCCAAAAAAAAATGCATTACTTTTAAAGGATCCGATGCACACCTGGCGGCATTTTTGAAGGACAATATTTTTGGCCTCCTTAACCAACAGAATAAGGTATTCTATGAGTATACCAGCCAAATAGAGATTTATAATTTGTTCTATCAAGAAGGTTATCATACCTTTATATTTCCTCTTCATATTCCGGACAAATTTTCCTGCAGACTGAGAATTGCCTTTAATACCGTTGGACCTATGAACAGCAACTTCTTGCTTTTCAGATGGACTGAGAGGCGTAACATACAGTGAGATCTTCCTGAGGACATCAGTAGCAGTAGTAGTTTTATCCCGATTGGTCATATAAGTTGACCACCAGAAATCGAAGAAATCGGTAGAGCTCGGATTAACATTAAATGGAACAAATGAGAACTCCCTTTTTAATTGATAAAACCGTGATTCAGTTTCTTCAATGCAATCTCGGAATTTTTCTCTTCTGATTGAATCATTTGCTGATTTGTAGAAGGGGATAGCTTGTGTCATGCCAAACTGTCGAGCAAACTGATTTGGTGAGTAATGTTCGACCCCACATTTGCATTTCGAAGATTCGTCCACACGGATGCTGTAAGGGAGGTCTCGAGCAATAAGATAACTAGCCCAAATGTCTTTTAATTCTGTTCTGTTAAGTTTTTGGAAGTAAGGATCAAGTGACCTCTTAAACCATTCAGGCCCAAATTTCCTAGACGAAAAAGGCGTGAATTGGCTGGCTGTTCGAGATGGGCATTTATTGAAGAAGAGAAAGTATTGGCTGAATGTTTTAGGTCTCAAAACACCAACAGCCAAGGCATGCCCGTAGGTGAGAGGGTTACCGTCATCCGAGGTTAAAGGCTGATGTTCTGGAAAGTAAGCCTGTAGCCAGAGTTGCAAGATCCAGAATGGACCCCGTGCATCATCAAATCCGCCCGTAACGATGTCTGTGCAGGCATGATACAAATTCGACAAGACAAAAGGTGCCAAAGCAAGCTTTCTACCCTTAGAAAGAGGAAGAGCCAGTTTTGTACATTGCTCAATCATGGTAATCGAAGAATTACAAAAGAGATATCTGCAGAGCCACATAACCAGAAAGGATATATGTTCTTCCTCTGTCACAGCCATTGCTCCCATTGACACGTCGAGAAACTTGCAGTAAGTCAAGCATTCTTTAATTTTTTTATACTCGGGAAGATCACGAGCCGATTTAGCCACCCCGAGAGGGACGCTAACATCCTCACCATGCGGCCTAAGTCCTGTCAAGGCAACAATATCTAGTACTGTTGGCCCCATCATACCAAACCTAAAATGAAACGAGTTTGTGGAGATTGACCAATAGCACAAGGCAGCATAAAGAAGATTTTTGTCCAGCGGGATATCATGTTTCGACAACTGAATGGCGTCATATATATCAGCTGATTTCCACACCTCCCATTTCGCCTTCTCAACTCTATCTACCCAATCAATCCACATTCCACTTACATTAGGCCATGATCTCAGAGTCTTATCTCTGAACCAATCAGGTTCCGCCGAGTGTAGAAGTAGCTTTTCTCCTTCAGCCAACGGGTAATGAGGAGACAGCTCCGTAGTGAACACATTCTTAAAACACGGGCCTAATATAATTTTAGAGGGCAATCGAGGAGTACGAACAAATATCTCGTCAACGATCAACTTTCTTTTCAACTCTTGCATTTTCTCAGCCAACTTTTTCTCTGACTCGGAAACTTCAGTCCTTAAGCTTGCAACTTTATCTTCGGCCATTTCTATGTTTTTCTCCACTGGAGCAAGTTAACACGGAAAAAAAAACAACATTAATTCAATCGTATGTTCACATAACTTGTATACCACATTATCTGTTCTCACATTAAACAATCTGCTACTATATGCTTGTCTGGAAAAAAAAAATCAAAAAAACAGAAATTGTAACAGTTATTTCCGAAAGTAGCATTGTGACCATTTATATAATCTTCAAAATTCTGAAACTTGGCAGCAAATAAATTATTTCAGCCTTGTTTACCTCATTATTTAAGAATCTTCATTCATTTAGTTTTTTGTTAAATGATTAATCCTCTGTTCCTAGCTGTTAGATTGTCAGTAATTGTCGTCTTTTATGGTCTCGGACAATCCTCACCACATTAGCGAGCTTTTAGGGTCGAGTTCAGACCAAAATTTATTTTCTTAACTTGATATCAGAGGAGACAGAGGTCCTGAATTTCAATTCTCACCTGTCACATGTTTGGACTTGTGAAAAAAGAATCAAACCCACATGTGAGTAGATGTGTTTTAAGCTATGTTGCTTCAACTTTCCAAAAATAATGTTGCCACACTCGTATCAGATAATTTAAAAATGTATAACAACATTTCTGAAGAGTCTGAGCAACATATAGGTTTTAAAAAATAAGTAGATAAAAATGTATTATCTTTTACCGATTAAACTTTTAGATGAGATGATTACATAATTCTAACAGATTTCCTCCCTCAATAACCATAGAACTATATATAAAGGCTGAAAATATTACAACCTAAGCAAGAATTTTCAAGTGACAACAATAACATATTCAGTATAATCTCATAAGTGGGGTCTAGAGAGGGTGGTGTGTACGCAACATTAACCTAACTTAAAGAGATTGTTTCCTATAGACCCTCGTCTCAAGTAAGAGATATAAAAACAAATAGAAAAACAAGAACAGAAAGAAAATACAATAGCGAAGAAGTCGTGCTGAAAATAATGTTCATGCAAGATTCAATTTGAAGGGCAATATCAAGAAAACCATAAATTCAATTTGAAGTCCACCAAAAAATTTACGAATTAACATTATTTACATCAACTTAAGTACAATATACATAATGTAAAACAAAAATTGGAAATTAAAATTGGAGAAAAAAAAGAACTTACCCCAATTGATGAGTTACTAGATTTTCATAGTTGAAATTTCTAGTTCTTGAAAATTAGAGCTCTTTTTTTTTTTTTTAGTGTATAATCCAAAAGTGATAAAGAAAGTTGTTGTCACAAAGTAATTAGAATTGAAGTATAAGAAGATGATTGCTGGTTTACACGTGTCCATTAAATGGGCTCAATTTTACTGCACTGAGGAACTCTTATACTATGACAAATAATAATAATTATTAAACAAATAAATATGATGTTCAAAAACGTTCGATAAAAAATAAATCCGACTACATGCTTCACTTAGCTTTAGTAAATTGTTGTGATTACGAGTTGGATGTCTAATGTTTAATTGATAATGATTATTTTGTATTTGAAACAAAGTGTTAAGAGCTAATTATATTATTATTTTACTCTTTTTTAAATTACAAAAATTCTTTAAAATTTATGCATTTCGGATACATTACTGGACTTCTGAATACATCACTGGACATCCAGATACATAGAGAAAAGATTTATCCTAGAGAGAAGAGACGTATCAGAGAGGATAGGGATGTATCAGCGAGAGGAGAGTCTTGTATCCGAGAGGGGATGAGGGATGTATCAGCGAGAGAAGAGTGATGTATCCGAGAAGGAATTTTTGAAATTCTTCTAAATGGTATGATAAAATAAAATGTATACTTAGGTAATTTCTCATATTTTATTTATTTATTAAGTATGTGGGAAATTGGATTGAAACGTGCCAATTATTAATTAACTTTCGATTAATTTTGAGTTCTTTTTTTTTTTTATATGACAATAGTAAAGTGATTATTTGTGAAGAGCTACCAAGCCCAACCCAACTCTAATTTCCTTGAGGTAATGAGACCCAACCCAATTCTATTGTGGATTGACCCACGTTGTATATGTACATGGAGTATTTAGTTTTTTGGGAAACTTACATAAATCTCACTAGTTTAAGAGATAATTATTTAGATATATTTTAGTTTGTAATATTACGTTTCTTATCAGATTTTGGTGCATCCATATGTATGTATCTCAGAATACATTGGGTCAAATTTGTTTTAGTTACATTGTATCCAAGTGGATTCGCATGTATTTGGATACACAACAAATCTCCATCGCCTCTCTCCAATCTCGCTTGCCACTCTCCTATGTATCTGGTATCCTAGATATATGCGAATCACATCAAATATATATAGATATATGTATATAGTGTCTATCTAGGGTGATTTGCATGTATCTAAAATACATAACAAAATCTTGTGCCTTCCTTCCTCCCTATCTCGCTAGCCTCTCTTCCTATTTTAGTGTATCTTTCTCAATATATAGTAGGAAACTCTTAATTACTGGTAAGATACGTAATATTTTAAAAGTATAAATAATAAGTGTATATATAATAGTGAAGTATGCCTAATTATATATTTTCTCCTAATTTTTTTAACATGTTTTTTTTTCTTCAAATTTTATATCTTTTTCTGGTCTAAATACTATGCAATAAATGTTAAATTCTTTTGCCTTTAGATTCACGTTCACTAATAAAAGGGTTAAATACACAGATAGATATTTAAAATATATCGCCATATATATATATATATATACTCCTTCATCGAAACCCGCCTTTATAAGGATCGTTGTTTTTCTCCCTCCTTCCCCCTTCTACTCCTCTATTGGATTTTCCTATAGGAAATACTCCTTAAGAGGCTAAAATAAGAAAATTTTAATTTTCAGAGACTTCATTTGCTCAAATTTGAATGAAAACATGCACTTTACCATGCATGTTAGCATGACCTCTCCTTTCTTCTAAAGACGTATTCAGGATTTCAGGATGATAGATGTACTATATATTATGAAAAGGTGGATGTAATCGGTTTGACATTTAAGTTTGTATCATTGAAAACAATTAAAATTTTAAAATTATAGGTCCAAAATTGAAATGTTTAATTAATTAAAACGCCAAAAGTGCTACCAATAATCACTTAGAGAGATGTTACCCAATTTTAGAAAGAAAAATAATACTAGATACAAAATTCAAAATTATAATATCACTGAGAAGTGCACTCAATCATTATCACATTATATGATACTTCGATTCTGAGTTTACATATCTATATTTAACAAAAACTTTTTTAAAAAATATAACACTACTATATATGATTTCAGGAGGGGAGCATGGATTCACGTGAACCTGATGACCACCTCCTGCATACGCCTCTCCTTTCTTCCTACTATACTTCAGTCGGAGAAAAACAATTCTAGATTTGAAATATTAAAGTCTATATCTAAACTGATATAAGGCAAATCTAAAAATAATAAGAAGAAGATTATAATAAAAGGCAATAGTGTGACACCTTAAGAAAAAAAAACATTGAAACATTGACAAATGTGACATATCTCCAAGGAGAAAGAACTATGTAATATGGAAGATAATTTGTATAAAGAAAATCACACCCTAATTTCCTTACAAAGCTCCAACAAAGTTTGGCTACTTTGGTCATGTAGATAAGAAAGTGATCACTAAGAAAATAAGTACAATTTGCAAGTCATTGTCATTTTTAACTAACTATAATATAAAAACATCTAAAAGTAGTCTTTCTCCAATTACAAGAATATAATACAATATCATTTTGCCAAATTTAGCCTATCTTTTTGTCCTTTGACCACATCAATCTTCTTCCTTTGCCAAAAGCACCTCCACATGTGTGAAAAGTAGATCCCACTTGCCAAAACTCCCTCCGTCCCAATTTATCTGACACTTTTCATTTTTCGAGAGTCAAACAATTTAAGTTTGATCGGCAATTTGCACATAGAATCTTTAAATTTTTTGAAATAAAATTTATATATTTGTAAACTATGTAAAAAGTATTTTAAGTCACAATAATTGATAATTCAAAAATGTTTAAAAGATCTATGAAAAAATTTACTGTCAAAAATAAACTTGTGTGAGAGTCAAAATCCGAAAAGTATCGCGTAAAATGGAATGGAGGAAATATGATAATAAAAAGTAGGCCCCACTAGCCAAAAGCTCAAAATGTGTCCCACTTCCACCATATTGTAAATGTTTTTATATAGTATGATGATTAGGTCTCTATCTCAAAAGACGTCATCCCTTACCTCATCTTTCAATTAGTTCAATTGACCTAAAACTTGCATTTCCCAAATCTTTATATGGTCCAACCACTACTCCATCATCATCAACATAACCACTAACTCCTCTTTCTCTTTTTCTTTTTATATATCTATAATACCCTAAACCTATGACCCCACCTAATACCAATATGGCCCCACATAACAGCCCTACCCCCACCCCAATCCCCATCCCCATCTTATCTTTTCCTACACCCTCCCTCATTTTGAAAAACCCCATCTTGGATTCATCCCTCACCCCTACTAAACTTTGTATGGGGTAATTTAGTATGTAGCAAAATCCAGATGTGTTGGTGTACACCACACCCCAACATGTACAATTTCCTTCACATGCACTTTGACATTCTTGAAAAGAAACCATATGTTGATAGTCCATTAACTCAGTGTTAGGCAACTCAACACCATTTCTTGATAACCCCTTGTACTTCTTGTGATCAAGATCATAGGAGGCCCCGCAAAAATCGCGGGGCTCCTGAGTGTTTGGCGGGACACACCCGTTGATACTATAGTCCGTGCTGTTATCCAGGCAAGAGCAACTCTTGCCTGGATGACAGAGCCCGTATGCCCCACAGGGGCTAGGCAATTCACATGTCTCCTTTATCGCTTGATAGTCCAATACCCAACTCGACCCGTCCCAAAAATACCCTTTTAAGTTACCATCCGGTTCGACCCGGACCCGACGGACACCGGATACGGGTTGTTGAAAGCTGTTAAATGATTCAATGTCAACTGGGACTGACTCATTTTGGTACATTCCCAAAAATCCATTTGACTTTAATACAACATAAATATGTCCTTGATCTTCCATCACATCAGCTTTAGCTTCTAATGCCTTATGCCTCCAATAGATCCGACCCGGACCCGAACCCGATTCACCTTTAAAATACAACCCGAAAAAATCAAAGCCCAATCTCATGGAATAAAGCCCATTTGACGAAACTAAAGTCATGGCACTAGTGAAATTTTGATTTTCCACAAGGGTATTTGAGGGAAAATCAAAACTTTGCCATAAAACAGAAGGTGACGTCACTCCATTTTCAACCTTCTGAACTTGCAAATTTGATGTATTTGAAAGCCAAACACGGTCTCCATCAGTGTGAGTTGACCAAAATACCCCTGAACGTGAATCAGACAAAACAAGGCTGCCATTGAAGTAGAGCTCAGTCGGGTAAGCCCATTTAGCTAAACGGGTCAAATTAGCAACCCATATCGACTCGAAAGATTTAACATGGATAATAGCAAGACTGAGTTGATTTTCTTCAACTCGAAGAAAACTCAGTGAGTAATTTCCAGTAGAATCAGTAAGAAGAGGCTGAAAATTCGAAATTTGGGGATCTGGGTTTGCTTTAAATCCTTTGAAAAACTGGTTGGGTGTCTCAGATTCAACTTTAATTTGAAAAAAAATTGAGAAAAAGATGGAAATAATGAAAAACTGAGTTAATTTCAAAGGAGTTATTGAGTTAACTAAGTCCATGAGAATGAAAATTGTATGAAAAAAGAAATATGCATGAAGAATTTTTTTTTAGAAATGGTTGAGTTTTTTGTTTTGCTGTAAAAAGAAATATATTTGATTGGGGGTTTAAATAAGAAGCGAAAAGCTCATCGGATTGCGAATGGGTCGAAAAAGTTTAATATTATATTGTGAAAGAGGATCATGAAGATCTCGAAGAAACAAATGAATATATAATGGTTATATATAGTTTAACGAGTCGGGTGGCTGAGTAGGTGCAACACATAATAGGAAGATTGAAATGATTTTTTCTATCAATATTTTCTTAATCAAATTCCTTGTATTGAATTTGATTAGTGTGATTTATATTTTAGGTGTGATTTACATGCAATTGAGTTTACTCAATGCGAGCCAAAAACTATTAGTCTAACTCGTATACGCTATATAAATTTGATTTGCACCCTATTTGCTACTCCCTCCGTCCACAATTAATTGTCATGGTTTCCTTTTTTAGAGTCAAACAATAAGAACTTTGACCAACATTTTACGATGTATATTTTCATCATATTGATATGCAAAAAATTGCAACTTATAGTACTTTTCGTATAGTTTTTGAATATCTAATTTTTTTAAAAAAAATATTGAATTAACGTAATCTAATTTAACTTTAAAAATTAGTCAAATTGACTTTCGAAAAGCGCAACATGACAAATAAAAGTGGACAGAGGGAGTATTAATTTGCATGAATTTCGAGATTATTTCACATAATTTTACATTTATGCCCCATTAGTTACTAAATTTACATAAATTTCAATCAATTATATGTCTTCCAAGATAACTTTCATTAATATAATTGCATATGTTTATCTTGTTATTTTTCAAAACCGTTCACATCTACAACTACGAGCCCATATATATAATAATTTAAAGGTTAAACCATGTAACATGCGAAGCCACAATATATAGACACACAACCTAGGAGTAGAGTTTTATTTGATAGAAAATGTTAATCTTTTTTTATAAAATAATAGACAAGTTTAAACTTTGAATTAATCGAATCAGTGAATTTTAACGCAAATAAAGAAGAAAGATTTTTTTTAAAAGAAATTAGAAGCAAAATAAATTAGTGATCAACACTGTCAAAGAGTAGTGTGATGAAATGATCATAACAATTGTTTAATTCAATTTTAATTAAAAAAATTAGATTCAAACTAATTAAGCTAAGCTCTTCACTATATAAGTCCAATTTAATTGAAATTTAAAGGAAAATGAATAAAGGCAATATCATGCCATAAATGTGAATGATAGTTTTTTTCTTGAATTAAATTCTACTAACAATTTGATCCCAAAAGTCAAATTCTTACAAAGTCAAACAATCACGTTACTATTTATTCTCTCCATTATTTATGTATCATGTCCCTCATAATTAAAATCACCTTTTCCCCCTTTTTTTTGGTAGATATATAGTAATAGTTGAACATTAAATATGTATGATATAAAGATTGTAGTTCGATTTATAAGTGTGAGCTATATTATTTATTAATTAAAAATTTTATATGAACGTCATAGTTTGATAATAAGTATGAGTTTATCGAGGATATAATTCTAAAAAGAAAGATTTGAAGGTTGATGATTAGTTGATAGTTGAACGTTGTTTAATTTTTTTAAATATGTTTTATTACTCTCCTACTAGTTTAGAATCTTTGATATTATTGTTTATTTGGCTTCAGTGATCATATTATTTGTTTTTTTTTTATTCTTCATATTATTTTAAGTAGGATTCGTCATTGATATTTTTTTTTACATACTTGATTTTTCATCCAGGGGTGCAACTATTTAATAGGCAAGGATTAGAACAGGTGGATCCTAGATCGAATTCATATGTTTTACTTGATTCGAGAGTATAAATTTTATTTTTTTTATTCTTCATATTATTTTAAGTAGGATTCGTCACTGATATTTTTTTTTACATACTTGATTTTTCATCCAGGGGTGCAGCTATTTAATAGGCAAGGATTAGAACAGGTGGATCCTAGATCGAATTCATATGTTTTACTTGATTCGAGAGTATAAAAAATAATTTAACTTTTTACTTCTTAAGATATAAATAAGACTATGTACTTACATATCACCTTCTCTAAATCTCACTTATGAAATTATATTGAATAAAATCGATCAATTTTAAATAATTTAAAGATGTTTTTTGACTTTTCCCCCATTTGTATATGAACATCACAGTGCCTTTCAATAAATTTAATTATGACTCTGTAGCAAAAAGTCAACCATGACAATTTAGTTTTCTAGCTCATTTAATTTCTACCTAAATAAATATATATATATATATATATATATATATATATATATATATATATATATATAAATTTCTTTACACATATTGTTGAGTTTGGTTAACCTGAAAAGAGAAAAAAAAGATTAAAAATTGGACAAAGCTTCTAACCTAAACTTTTTGTGGCAATTGACTTCTTAAACAATTTTAATTTAACTAATTAGCCGTTAAACTTGAATTGGAATATTTATTTTTAAAAGTTTTTTGAGTAGATAGTTTGATTTTAACTTTTACAATATGTTTTTCTATAAGTGGGACTTTTGTGATTTATATCAGATTTGAAATGTCAAACTTATCGAGGACATGATGATCTTAGATAGAAGGATATGGAGGTTGAAGATTATGGTAGAAGGTTAATAGACAATCTCGCTATCTAGTTTTCCTTATTAGAATTATTATTGTTATTATTGTTATTGTGTTCCGTCTATTTCTTCTTCTTCAATTTTATTATTATCTGTTATTTCTTGTTCAAGCTATCTTATTATTTGTTTATGCTACTAGTATTTCCTATTGTATTCTCTTTTCGTTCTTGTTTTCTTATGCTTTACTTAAGGCTAGATTACTTTTTTATTCTAAAAAAAACTAGAGAACTGCATTCACACCACTCTCCCCAGATTATGCAATATTAATACATGTCCAATAATTTTTCATATTACTATATATTTTTTAGATAATAATTTTATGTTAAAATATTTTAGAATATATAAACCCTAAAGTATCTTTATAAGTTTGTATTATTTGACTCACCTACTATTGAATAATTAATATCTCCCACCAATAGTTTTATTCATATTCAAGTTCTACTCTAGTAAATAAAGTTCAACTTGGCTATCTCATAAGTGGTTGTTGACTATTTATTTAATTTAATTAATGCATGTTAACAAATTATGCCAGTTGCCCAAAAGTTTTATTAATTGTTATGATATTTGATTTTGAAGTTGGTATTTAATTCTAACTTTTTAGGGTCAACACTAAATATTTTTGGATTTCCAATAAAAATGCTTATTAAAAATTCTTTATTGATTAATGGACATTATGTTCCATAACAGTATGCTACTATAATAAGACACAAAATTGTGTCTTCTTTTTAGCAAACTAAAAAAAAATCATATAAAAAGTAACACACTTTTCATTGCCTAGTTACTTGCAGGTTTGAAGTACTATTTGTTTCTGAAAATTATAGCAATATGGAAGAGGAGACTTTAACGTGATTGGTAAAGTTATTTTCATATGATTCGAAAATGTAGCCTTTACAAGCTCTTTATAGTATTACCCTTTAACGGACTTAAATTATGAAAATAAGCCTTTAGCAGAAATGTAGAGTGAAATTGTCTACTATAGACCATTATAATACTATCCTTTTTCAAACTTCATACGTAATGAAAGTATAATATACCGAACTACCTTTTAACTATCCAACAATAAACAGTTAGTAATTGTCTGTTTGAATGATTTGTTTTTTTTTTCTGGACAGGTAAACCTTGATGACAAAAATTAAAATAATTAGTAGAAAGAAAATAAAAAAGAATTTGTTGAGAGTGGGATTTGAACCCACGCCCTTTCAGACCAGAATCTTAATCTGACGTCTTAGACAAACTCGGCCATCTCAACATGTTAATTTGAAAAAAAACTAAAAAATGTATATAAATTAAACAAAATGTCATACACTGGCTAATCTATGGAAATACCCCCAATTTACATTTTGTTCTTATTTTCAAAAGTTTTACAACTATAACCCTCGAAAGATTCCCTTTGAGTTTTGTTCATCCTTAACGATAAAACATTATACTATCGTCTAATATTTGCAATAACATATCGCATCGTCTAATATTTGCAATAACATACAAACTTTAGAACATGATTTAACATTTTATCCTAAGATTTCAAATTTGTTCAAAAGGATCTAGACTACAAAAATTCATAAGTTGCAAGAAAAAAATAAGATCATTTACTAAATAATTATCCTAAATAAGGACTAAATCATCCATTCTTTCTGTTAGAAGTTAACAAGTTATTTTGGCTTTAACAGGCTTATATACAATAATAATAACATACCCAGTATGATCTCACAATTAGGGTTTGGAGAAGATAGTATGTATACAGACCTTACCCATAGACCCTCGGCTCAAGCAGTTCGAAAAACGAAAATAACAAGAATTTAAGAGCCTATACACTGGTACATAAAAGAGATAAAACTCAAAATTGTCCATTTCAACAAAAGCAATGGCAAATGAAGCAACACTTTATCTTCTAATCACTAAGACAGTACAAACAATTGAAAAGGAAATCAAAATTTTACCAATTGAAGAACAAACACTATATTACAGATATACAAGCTTCGAGCCGCTTGCTATAGCAGCCAAAAAAGAACAAAAAACAAAAACAAATAATTAGAACCCCAAACAGAACTACAATGTAACATCATGATGGTTAGTAACATCAATATACCCGTCGCCTTAATTAAGAAAGCACCAACCAGTACCCATCTTGGAGGCTGAAAGTGCTCTTCTGAAGAGGAAGAAACGTATCGGTGAATGATGTAAACTGGTATTGGAGAGAACTTGATGTAGAAAAACTCTCAAGGGAAGTCCACATTACACCTAAACCTAAACAACAACTAGCAAACTGGTAGACCTGCATTAGGGTGGCCAAGAAGCTGTCTTTCATCGTGTCATGGTAGAGATTTGACAAATGAAAACAGGCTGAACACTTTCAGAAGCCAGTGAAACATCTGCGATAAATGCAGATCCCCATAGTTTTCTTCCCTATAACTGGATGCAGGTGACGAAAGAGAACTGCAAATCAGTAAATGTAAAATAGACACGACTCTAGAAAAGTTTCCCTCTTGTAATTGGCTGTATCTGACTATAGAACTCAGTGAAGTTGAGCCTAAACATAAGAAACTTCAAATCAATGTGCTGCTGCACGGGCAACTGAGAAATGAACCCCTCAAAGATGGTTGTATAATCCTTTCCAATCACGTCCATATCATTTCCCATATTTTTGAGGAACTCTCCAGCGCGTTGAGTTAAAGCTTTTCTGCCTTCACCAAGCCATGAACCTGGTTCTGAAGTTTTATCATTTGATTTTCCCCGTGATTTGACTTTATCACGAGAGTTAGTTGATGTTTCTGAAGTCCTGTAATTTATGAGGAGATACAAACTGTTAGAAACATTGAATACTAGAAAAAAAATCCAAATTTCATGTAGAGATGGAGAGAAAAGATTGATACCTTGATTGCAGCTCATTAATGCCTTCATATAGTCGATCTGCCAGGCTTCGGAAGCGCAATATCAGGTCAAATAAAACGAAGAGTGTCTTATTAAGCTCCTGAGAACGTTCTCCCAGCAAAGACTTCTCTAAAATTGAAAACAAATACTTTTCATGTGCTGCAAGAAGATCATCAAGGTCTTTTGATAATTCCATTTCTTTCACAAGATTAGACCATGAGACCTCCAAAACTTCAAACATGATGTAGTACTGCAAATTAGAAACAAAGTGATTCATTTCATCCCAAAGAACTTGACACTTTCTTGATGTCAAAATCAACTGCAACTTAACAGCCTGTGGCAACTTGGAGAAGAAGTGGGAAGTGATACAATTTGGTTTCATTGTCTTCCAAGTACCGGTTAGCGCGTGTTCTACCCTTCTGAGCTTCCATAAAAAATTGAAGACTCTTATATATCTTGTCATTACAGACTCTGTAAAAATTGTATTCAAAGGAACACCTGCATCATATTCCAGAGAAAAGACATCCCACCCTCTATCTCCAGTTTTATGTGGCATCATCTTAACCCTTAATCTAGCGCGTATATCACAACCATCATACTGTGCATTAGATGATGTGATAGCACTCTCCAACAAGGTTGCCAGCTTAAATGAGCTAATAGTATTAGCCGGTTCAGATAGCTCAGGACCAACAATATCCATTAGATATTGTACGAAATCACCTTGACCAAGAAGCAAATAGCGCTTAATGGCAAGACAATGTTCCTTGAACTTGTACCTTTTGTGCATAAGTTCAAGTAAATGCTTATCGATTCTTTTTGCTGCTTCTGTAACCAAAGATTCAAGTGCATCAGTTTCGCCATACCCAAGACTTCCTCTCGTGGTTGTAGTTCCAACAGCTGTTGCTGCTTCTGTTGCAGCATCAGCCCAACCACGATCATCACAACAAACTCTGAGAAAGTTGATAGATTTACCGGTCCTTAAAATCTGTTTGGCAAGAGACTGAGAAATAAAAGCAGGAAGCATGGCAGCATGAAGTCGGTAACCTTCTCTCCAAAGGGACTCGTCTTTTACAGGTTGACTCACAATGAAAAACTCAGCAAATATATCTTCAAGTTCTCCTTCAAGCACCCATCTCCTCACCATCTCAAAAAGAGGGGAACACACCCGACGCAACAACCTTTTCATGAAATCATTAACAAGCGGATCACCATGCTGGGCATGCATGTGAATTGCACCAGCCATTGCCCCACCCTTTAAGCTTTTACAGTTATCAACTAAAACAGCCATCAATCTCATCTTCACAATTGGCTCAGCAAACCAAACTGACAGTCTTCTTAGAGACATATAACTCCCTGAACATGCACTCTCGGAACCCAACGGTATTGGATTCATTGCCTGCCCTTCGAGCACCGCTAACAATTTATAGTACTCTGAAAGCTCATCTTGCAATGCAGCACAAAACGCTTGTCCAACTGTGCCTACATCTTGAGCAGGGAACTGATTCATACTATCTGAGATGTACCCTTTGACTTTCCTAAACAACCAGCCGAGCTCACAAAGCTTCCTAACAACACTTCTCGTAGCCCTTGGAACTTTCATCCAATCAGGTAACACATAGCCATCCTCATTTTTATCATACTTTACATACTTCCCATCGATCCCTTGACAAGCATACAGCACATCCCTCACCAAAACATCCTCAGATACCTCATTTTCTTCCTTCGACAAGTTCACAAACTCCTTATACGCCATATCACGTAAGTTCTCTGGATCCTTGGAAACCATCAAAACCCCTCCACTCCATCCCTTCCCTACTTCACCTTTACCCCTCAAAACTCTCGAATTATCACCTACACAATTCAAACTCTGAAAATCATCACTCAAACTACCATCACTATAGCCCTTCTCCATTTTACCCAATTTACCCACCAAACCCCTAGAATCCTTACTATTATCCGTGTAACCCTGCACATTATTCAAAACCTTAGAACAATCATTTCTGAGCCCGAAATTACGATTCGATTCACTTCCAACCAATTCCGGTAAACCACCCGACAATGCAGAGCTTAGAAATCCATTAGGTGCTACAGAAGTAGACTGATGTTTTTGAATTTTCCGATCTTCGGAGACAGTTTTAAGCAAATAAAGAACAGCCCATTTGTTTCTTACACTACCCTGTCCTGTTTTCAACGAGAATTTGGTATATACATCAGCAAAAGTTAAGGCATCAGACGATTTACCTTGAGTAGCTAACCGTCGCTTAATGGATTCCACCATTGCGGACTCATCCGCAGCAATTGAAGGTGTCATTCGACTGGAGAGTATGCGAATGGCGTATCTCAGAGCTTGGTGATACTGTTGATCGGAAGGTATGATAGGGTTAGGGTTTAAGGTAGTGGACTGGTGGGAGTTGGCGGTGGAGGACGGCGGAGAAGTGGAAAGTAAACGGTGTACTAGCTCTTTGACTAGATCTAGTGCTCTTCGGTCGCCGTCGTCCATGGTGGATCTGCGGTGGCCGGCGGCGGAAATGGTGAAGTGAAGTGAGAGAAGTTGGTGAAAATGCCTAAACGAACTGTTTTTGTTTATGTTTTTTTTAAAATAATTTTAATTTTAATTTTGATTTAATATGGGCGCGGAAATGAGATTTCGTTTCATATTTATTTATATAAATCAATTGAAATATTTGTTGGAAACTTTAAAACTTAAAAGGTTAAAAAATCATAATTATGGAAGTATGACAATTTAATGTATTATAAATTGAAATTCTTAGCAAACTTTTGAATTGTAATGCTCTATTGCTAAATTTGATATATTTGCCCTTGAATATACAAAATTCGTTAGTCTAGAAACGATAATATCGTATATCCTCTTTATCTTTTTGTATAATTTTGCTTTCCTTTTCTAGAGTGAATGTTTTCAGTTTCTTCTTCTTTTTTCTTAGTCTTTTTCATATTTATATAAATATAAGGTGGATTGATACTTGATAGGTTAGTCTTAATGGGTCATAGGTTTCGGATGTTATCTCCTTTGATGACTATTATTAACGTGATCATATTTTATATATTATTGAGTCATCTTTACCTTGCTATGAATAAGTTTTTTTTCTCACTCAGATGTAAAATTTAAATGTAATTTGATCTTTCCTATAAGTTGTTGCTTGTTACATCCAATATAGACTTTTTCACTTTGATCTAGCAAAATATATCATGATCTAATCAAAGATATTTTTTCATAATAAGGATGGACATAATAGAAACTATCTAGAATTTAATTAAACTTGATCCATAATGATGGTAGAGTCAACACTATATAGAACAAAGTCTTGCACTGACTAAGTTAATTCAAAAATAATTATTAGCTTTTGATTTCATATTTGAAGTTGAATAAAGTTTGGATATATTCCAATTTCAGAATCTATCTTTGAAATTAGATACTTCTTTTAATCGATGAAGATGGTAATTAAAATCACAATTACTTTTAGATTATAGTATGCACTCGAATTGAAAATCAAATTTCGTTTTAGATTACATACAAATAATTCAGAAACACATTAAATATGAATTATACAAGTATTTGTGTGAAGTTGCAATGCAGAAGAAAAAGAAGTGAAGTAGCAACAACAAATGCATATATGAAGTTTGCCAACTTATAAATAATTATAAAAAATAAACTATATTTTAGATAATGTCTTCACAAGTGATTACTTGCTATTGTTCCTACGTTTTACTCTCATTACTCAATTGTTAATTTGAGGTTTAAAGCATATCCTCTACAATATTTGGTTAATTTAAAATGCCCACCCCCCCCCCCACACACACACATCCCCCAAATAGATTACCTATATACACATCTTTATTTTCCATAATTTTCATCATTCCCTACCATTTCAAAATATTTCCAAAATCCCTTCTTTTTTTTTCAACTCTCAAGTCAAACGGATACATAAGTATTTCAGCCTTAACACATGATTTCCTTCCCTTTTTCACTCCTTTAATCTTTCCCTAATTTCACTCTACAATCTTATCAGTTACAATTTTCATATCAATTTGATTTTCAAAAGGATTCTCTACAATCTTATCAGTTACAATTTTCATATCAATTTGATTTTCAAAAGGATTCTCTACAATCTTATTAGTTACAATTTTCATATCAATTTGAATTTTTTTTCCTGATTTTTTCTTGTTCATCTTTTTCTAATATATATGTGTTCAGATTTTTAATGTATCTAGTTGTTTTTGTTTCTTAAATTAATGTATAATGTCTTCGTTTCAACATTATGATACATTACAAAAAAATTTCATTATGTACAATGTATCGTGTTCAAATTACTAAATTATCTTACGGTTATAGTTTGGGATACATTAACTAGATTTTTAATGTATCTAGTTAATTTTGTTTCTTAAATTAATGTGTAATGCATTTGTTTCAACACTATGATACATTACAATTTTATCATACACAGTGTATCGTGTTCAAATATTAATTTTGATACTTGATATAAAACTTCTACTAAATGTATCATGTATCTAGGTATTGCTATGTATTGGATACACAACATTCTATTATTGCATGAACAAATACACAATTTTTTAGACATGATACATAAAGTCGAATTTACGCTAATTGTATCTGATACGTAGCAACTACCAGATACATAAATAGTAATGTATTGATAAATCTATCCATCTTGGAAATAAAATTCAAAAAACGATTACACAAAATTATAAAAGGTATGAATGATCCATCAAAGGTATGGATCTCTTTAGAGTTTATGTTTGTTGTATGAACCCATAACAGATACATTGAAAATCCAAACTCTTGATTCTTCACCTCAACGATGTATCAGATCTCCAATTTTTTCCTCAACTCATCGATCTTTAATTCAGCTGCAATGGTTGATTTGAGATTCACAAATCAATATTTTGACCAACAACCATTTCATCACTTTTGTATCATTCATACCTCACCTAACTTTATCAAATTTCGGAAGGATTTGCTTCAGATTTCGGAAGGAAATCCTCACTTTCTTAGATTCCGGAAAGATTTCCTTCTACTATATATCAGATTTTCAAGTTTTCCTCATCTCATCGATCTACTGCAATGGTGGATTTGAGATTCATAAAAGAAATTATTTGTCCAACAATTATTCATTATGTATTTTATCAAATTTTCGATAAATTTCAATCTAATTTGAATGATTATTCGATGAACATGAGACGATGAATAAAGAGAAAAAAATGAATTTTGAATTTGTTGATTCTGGAAGGATTTGCTTCTGATTGAATTGTTTGAAGCTGGGAGGATTTGGAAGAGAATTAACAGAAGAAAATTTGAATTTTGAATTAATTAAAGCAGTTACCATTTGAGAAAGATTGACAACAAATTGATTAGCGTGATTTGGGGAACTCACATTCAAAATTAATTACATTTCCTTTAAAAGTGTAACTGAATTTGTTTTAATGTATTGGAATTAATGTATCCGACTTGTTTGCTATGTATCCGGATAACACTGATTTTGAGGGATTTTTGTAAATTGGAAAAAAGTAGGAATACAATGTAATTTAGGTCTTTACACTATGAGAATTAGGTAAGTTACACAATAAAAAATGAGAAATTTTCACAAATAACCATTATAATAAACTTAATTATGTTTCATACCTATAGTTTACTTATTTACAGGTTATAGCTATAGTTTAAGTTGTCTCGTTTATATATTTTGCGGGTGAGTTTGTATAATTAAGTTATTTTTGTATAAACTCGAAATAGCAAATTTATACAAATACAAATATTTACGGGTTGTAGCTACAATTTAAGCTGCTTCATTTGTATAATTCACGGGTTTGATTCGCGTGTACGTTTGTATAATTAAGTTATTTTTGTATAAACTCGAAATAGCGAATTTATACAAACAAGAACATCTAAAATTTAAACAGTTATACAAATTATATTATACAAAATTACATTATACAAAAGTTATACAAATTTCGAACTATGCAAACGTGCGAAATATACAAACTCGAAACCCCAGCCCACGTAATTATCACTAAATGTTAGTCTCGAGTGATAATTAACTAAAACTATAGCTATGATGACTAATTAATTAGTATATATTTGCTTAACCATGTAATTTCCCCATAAAAAAAGAACAAATATCAAAAGACTACTCCATATACATCTTAGGTGATGTTATTATAAACTTCTTTCAATTTACAAAAAGTTCAAATATTCTCTAAATATTTCATGGCTTAATAGTTGATATTGAGAGCAAGTTGGTCAATGGGCCTCCACTCAAGTAGTAATGGGCTACATAACGGAGTTCTTTTGGGCCCAAAGTTAAACCCATCCAGTTGCAGATTGGGCTGGGCTTTTTCTAAGAAAAAAAATGTTGAGAGTGGGATTTGAACCCACGCCCTTTCGGACCAGAACCTTAATCTGGCGCCTTAGACCAACTCGGCCATCTCAACTTGTTATTAATTATTACAAATAAATCTTATATGTACCTGTTTGATGTGAAAATTCTTTTTTTCGCGATTTCCATCCCGTGTTCAGTATCCTCCTGGATTTCCATTAAAATTTAGATTCACGCCGAAAAGTCGGTATTGGAGGGTAAAACATTCACATTCAAGACATCTGATTACTGATAGAAAAATTCTTACCATTTCACCATAGTCTTTATTGGTGATAATTCTTTATCTTTTAATCAAGAAAGAGACTCGAATTATTACGATTCATTCAGATTATAGGCACAATGTCTCGGAAAAAATTAATAATTAATTACAAATTATTTAATGATAAATTTGTAGTTAAATATTTTTTTTTAGGTGAAGTATAACAAGTCAAAAGAAATTATTTAAATTTCACCATCAATCATGAAGAGATGCAATAAAAGGAGAAACAACTATTTTAAGCTTATCCAAGACCATAAAAGATTATGAAGAACAATGACATTTCATCTAAGTGGGTAGGAGAATTATTATTTTTCTTTCTTCTTTGTGGTGTGAACATCTCCAATTTGGGTAATACCAATTTGGAGAGCATTAAACATTCCACGTTCACATTAAATTTGAGAAGAATCGTATTTGTATCTTAAGGAATCATAACATCGATAGCTTATCCTGATGTAAATATTAATGATTAATTTCATGACTCAAACGTATATTCAATATATCATATATAAAGATAATTTTACTGTTGCTCGAACACTCCAACCAATTTTTATAGCGATAGTTATACATAAAATTCTTGGAATACCTCCTAATTTGTGTCAATTATTGACCAATCCATTATATATGGAAATAATCATGAATATAACCAAATCTCCATTTTGGGGTCATCGTCATTTTCTATATTTCTCAATAAAGTTAAAATTCTAAGTTAGGCTAATTAGCACTGAATTTTCTCTCATACCAAAATAATAATAATAATATATATAATATTCCTGTATAAACCATCCAAGATATTTTAGCATGTTTACCATATTCTGCCTATTGAACTATGATCAAAGTCCTATATGTAATGATGGAAGAAAAACATGTTGAACTTTACAAACTTACTTGAAATGTAACAAAACATTG